TCGTTCGTTTCGGTATGGCTGATTCACCGTCCTGTTCTTTCTGCCAAACAGAGGTTGAATCTATAGAGCATCTAGTGTAAAGTATCATGATCAATTAGTTGTTGGAAACACGTCTTGTCCTGGTTGCGCGATTATAACATCTTTTTTGATAACCTTAAAGAATAAAATGTCACTTTTGGTAAGTTCGATATTGCAGCAGATTTTCTCCTGTTTAACCATATTTTTCTTCTGCGTAAGATTTATATTTACTCTCGGAATGCCAGAATGCTATACCTTCTCTTTAGGGTTTTATTACCACGACAAGGCATATTTACGAACTCTACATTGCCAAGAAAAGAGACAAATTAAACGATCATTTTAAAAAGAGTTAAGTTAATAAGCGTTTTTTTTTTCGAGTGAGTGATGTCATGATTAATTTCAACGTTAGTTCGAAGTGAAGTCATTGTAATTTACATATTAGGTAACTGTATTCCTGTAATAGCTTTGTGCGTGCTTAGCTTTGTATTCATCTATTTATACTGTATAAGCGTGTTGGTGTGTGCGTGTGTGTGTCTTTTCTCTCTCTCTCTTTTTTTTCTTTCTTAATTTCTATTTTGTATCGAAACGGACAACAGCCAATCACATAGCGCGAATGTGTTCCGCGTGGATGACCCACGCTCAGAGCCACGCGTCCTTCACGAATTGAGGCAGAAAAAAATGGCGAAAGAAGCGGAGAGCGCTATTGCTTTTTTTTGTCGACGAAAACGAGAGATTTCTGCTAAAGATGAGTCAGCGAAACGAAACTTAAAAAAGAATCGGCCTTCCTCTCTTGCATAGAGCTAGCAGTTCAGCAGGGAAATCCTTAACACACTGAATATTCTCTCAGGATCATTTATAATTTACAGTTTGAAGAGAGCAATTTCTGGTTTGATATTTATTCTTTCATTAGCCTTTTATTACTCAACAAAAATAACACTTGGCGTCCTATAATAATAATAATGACAATTTAATAACTTCTAGAGGGCTATTTACTTCACTGATCAACAGCGCTTAACAACTTAAAAAAACTACAATATAATTCAAATTTGTAAAACTAATTACATGTACATGAATATTACTTGCTACTTGCTTTATTGTACAAACGACCGGTTTCAATAGACCGGCGAAATTTCTCATTTTGTTAAAGCACTGAGGTTACGATAACTTCGAGTTAAACCGATGTCACGGGTTGTCAAAGAGTCGAGCGATTCCCTTTTCCCAGGTGAACGCCGACTCATTTCGCTTCAATATTCATAAATGCTCTCGATCTCTTTACGCTTTCATCGCCGTTCGCCCGACATGTTTTGCGCGGCGTTTAGTCATGCGAAACCTCCACGAAACATCCACGCAGCGCACGAGGTAACTTTATCCCGATCCTAAAAATAACTCGAGACGAATTACCCATGGAATAGGGTGTGTATGGGGGATGCCTTCTCTGTCCCCTTTATCCCCTCTTGATAGTCACACAAACCTACACATAGCCAGACATAGCCAGACATAGCCACGCATAACCACTCATATACACAAAGAGAAACCCACATCCACACATAGCCACACAGAGCTGCACATAGCCACCCATAGCAAACAATATCCACGCATAGCTACACATAGCCATACTAGCCACCCATAGTGAGGCATGGCTACACATAGCTACACAAAGCCACCCATAGCTACACATAGCCACACAGAGCTACATAAAGCCAGCCATATTTACACATAGCCATCCATAGCAACACATAGCCACCCATATCCACACTAGCCACCCATAACAACACACATCCACACATAGCCACTCATTGCTATACATAACCACCCATATTCACACATAGCCGCACATAACTGCACAAAGCCACCCAACTAACCACCCAGAAACACATAGCTGCACATAGCCACACATAGCCACCCCAAGCCACGCATTGCTACACTTAGCCATACATAGCCACCCATAGCCACGCATTGCTACAGATAGCCACCCCAAGCCACGCATTGCTACACATAGCCGTACATAGCCACCCACAGCCACACATGGCTTCACATAGCTATACATGGCCACCCATAGCCACACATTGCCACACATAGCCATGCACAGCTACACATAGCCACCCATATTCACACATAACCATCCATGGCCGCACATAGCCACCCATAGCCACACATTGCCAAGTATAGCTACAGCTAGCCACAAACAGCCACAAATAGCCATCCATAACCACACATAGCCACACATAGCTACACATAGCAATACATAGCCACACATAGCCACCCGTATTCGCACATAGCCACACATAGTCACACATAGCAACACATAGCCACACTTAGCTACACAATTCCACACATAGCCACACATAGCCACACATAGTCACACATAGCAACACATAGCCACACATAGCTACACATTGCCACACATAACCATACATAGCCACACATAGTGACATTCTTGTAGCCAGGAGAATTTAGTATAACAAAAAATTAGACATTGCTAGATCTAACTTAAAGCAAACTTTGAAAACTCTCAATGAAGTGATTATCAAGCGAGGCATTGTTAAGCACCTTATCCTGCAAGCTTCACTAAAATGGAGTGAAAATCAGCTATTAGGGGCACTCAACACCGGTCAAGTCCCTAGTCTAAATGCATTGAAATAGCTTTTTAGGCTAAAAGGGTAGTTTTAGATCCCTGTAATAACATTGCAAGCAGCGCTATAAAATTTGTATCTGTTTTCGGGCATCCTAGGAAAACTTTTCGAGATTAAAAGGGCTTAAGTATTACTTTCACGAAAATTTTAGATGCAACTTAAAGTTTTACGAAAATGATAATTTTTCTGATTTCTCTTTCTGTCGCATTTTCGAATCCCAATATTTTAGCTTCCCTTTTTCTAAGAAAAAAAGCCTAACCTGGGAAGTGAAATGCGAGAAATTGAACAAACGAAAATAGTAGGGATTTTATGAGATAAGCTTCGAAAATCGTCAATGAGTGGAACGGTCATCTAGAAATATTTAGCCTCCCTCCAGCTATAGAAAATTCTAGGCAATTTTTGCTTCTCCGAACGGATATTTTACAGAAACAGTCTTTGGGTGCCCCCGAGTGATCCTGTTGATATTGCTAACAACTTCAGTGATTACTTTTACCAACATCGGGACAAGTTTGTCCAGCAAAATCTCGCCCACAAATTCTTCACCTAACAAATAAAAGAACAAAAGAAAAGTAATGTTAATGTTCCTCTTGTTATGGAAAATGCTATAATCAAGCAAGCCGTGGAAACTAAAATTCTGAGGTATATTATTATTGATCAGTACCTCTCCTAGAAATGTCATATTAGTTTAGTTTAAAAAATTGTGGGGATTATTGCGAAAGCTCGCTTTCATTTGTCGTTCAAATCGTTGCTGATCTTTCTACTCTCTAGTATATCCCAACCTGAAATACTGTAATATGTTGCCTATAGTCCTCCACCTTGACCTCTTGCAAAAGTGAATTGTGCGGCCTATATCAAAAGCTCACTATCAAATATTAGTGACAAATACCGCTCCATTTTTTTAGCCAGCTTAAAGTCCATGACATATATAGCATTAATTCTCTTTCAGTTGCTACATTTATTTACTCCTTTTACCATAATCTCCTGAAATAGGTTTATAAATTATCGTGATTCGTTTTTTTGTTAATAGTCTCAGTCTTAAAGCACGGGCCACCCATGAAAGAGTACTCAGCACTTAGTTTCCGAAGTCACTTTTTCACAGTATTTAGAAATATTTCAGGTATTCTGCCAAGTGCAAGTTCTTTTGAGTATCAAGTTAATATTTTTTTATACGAGTAATAAAACATAAATGATTGATAAATGATAAGATTGACCATGAATTATTTTTATTTGTAAAGCGTAACTACCGTCAATCGGTGGGTAATGTTCTTGAAATGAATGAAATAAACATAATGTTGTTATTCAATTTTATCCTTGGTTTAATTCTCATTTTCTCTTGTTTTAAAATCATTATAATACATTACCATACCCAAAAACAAAGGAAACTAAAAATTAAACCAATAAAAAAATTGAACGACAACATCATAATATATCATTGTCTAACAGGTTTCATCATGAGTCTTGCCTTAAACCGTGGAGCTCGGAACAAAAGCTGCATAAATCCGCGTTCTTTCGACAAGTATTAATTTTGTGAACAAAGTTGCTAACGCCAATCACGCAAAAAAATTAGCTGGTATATTTTTCAACTTATCAAAAGCCTGCGATACCCTAGATCATGCGATACTACTATCAAAATTGGAAGCATATGGCATCACTGGGACAGCCTTCTGATAAATAACTGACTATTTTTGTAATAGAAAACAATTTGTTCAAATTGACGATTCTAAATCAGACGAGAGAAAGGGCTCTGGCTAAAAAAATATTGAAGCTCAGGAGAGATTTTATTCCACAAATAGAAAGCGCACTACCAGGCCGGGCCACGGTGAGATATGCGCCACCAGCAAGAGAGGGAAAGGACATGCTTTGCGACTTCAGCACATCAACAATTAAGAAGCTTGGACCCTTTTAAAAAGAGAAAATGCCTCTGTTCGTATTGGGGGTGGCAGAGGAGTCATAAATCATGATGAATCGCAGTTGTAATATTAAAATGATTCATGAATTATTCTGTATAAAAACTAAAAGAATCACAAATAACGAGAGATGGTTAACAGAATCACAAATCATAAGTTATACATCGACATAAGTAGTCTTACGATATTCGAGGCAGACTGCGCTGCAGTACAATTACTGCCGCACATTTGACCTGTTGGATCATGTTAGACCTTATCTCGTATACAGATCCTTTTGACTAACTTATATCAGTTGTATAAATTATAGGAATAACATGGAAAGATATGTCACAACACCTACAATACTTCATACTGTATTGCACGGCGACCTCATGTACTATACTAGTCTGAAATGCCATATACGTATGACATTTCAGACTAGTATGCGTCGCTACGGGTGGCTATGGGTGGCTATTTGTGGCTCTGGATAACTGTGTAGCTATGAGTGACTATGGGTGGCTATATGTGTGGCCATGGGAGGCATTGTGTGGCTTGAAGTGTGACAATGTGTAGCTATGTGTTGCTATGGGTGCTATGTGTGACTATGTGTAGCTGTGTGTGGCTATGGGTGGCTATGTGTGACTATGGGTGGCTATGTGTGGCTATGTGTAGCTATGTGCGGGTATGTGTGGCTATGGGTGGCTATGTGTGGTTATGGGTGGCTGTGACTATGTGTAGCTATGAGTGGCTATGTGTGGCTATGTGTAGCTATGGATAGCTATGTGTGGCTATTTGTGGCTATGTGTGGCTATGGGTGGCTATGGGTGGCTGTGTGTGGCTATGTGAGGCTATGTGTGACATAGGGTGGCTATGTGTAGCTATGTGCGGCTATGTCTGGCTATGTGTAGCTAAGTGTGACTATGTTTAGGTATGTGTGGCTTTGGTTGGCTATCTGTGACTATGTGTAGCTATGTGTGGCTATGGATGGTTATGTGTGGCTATGTGTGGCAATGTGTGGCTATTTGTGGCTATGTGTAGCTATGTGTGGCTATGGGTGGCTCTGTGTAGCTATTTGTGGCTATGTGCTCTATGTGTAGCTATGTGCGGCTATGTGTGGCTATGTGTGGCTATGTGTGGTTATGGGTGGCTGTGACTATATATATGTGTAGCTATGGGTGGCTATGTGTGGCTATTTGTGGATACAGTACTGTGCAAAAGAAATGCTAACGAAATTTGCCGAAATAAGTGAAATTACGCGAATTTCGGCAATCAAATTTCGAACTTTCGCTTCAGAGGAAAAAGCGGCAAAATTTCGGTGCTTCTGTTGTTCTAATGTCGGCGAAATTTCGCAAGCAAGGTGATTAATCGAAATGGAATTTCGCGGCTCGAGGCGAAATTTCGTAGACAGTGTTTGTCTTTACACGAGGCTGTTAAGTAAGACTTAAGAACTGCTAAGTTTTACTTAACCAAACATGCGTGTGTGAAGGCCTAAGAAAAATCTCAAGTAAGTTTACTTTGCATCTCATTAAAACCGACTCAGGGAACTTGCGGTTTCCAAGCTTTGAGAAAGGCGAAGCATGTCAATCAATCTTAATTACGTTGCGTGGGAACACCCGATGAAAAAAGATAGGTTGTGTGTGAAGCTTTCTTTTATTTGAATAATTTAAAATTTACTTGTCTTAAAATATTTCTTAGCTTATTTAGGCTCTAGTGTAAAGACTACTTAACTATTACTTGACTATTTTGGAATGTAGCGTTTATATCAAACTGAAAGATTCCTGACTGCGTGCATTTCTTTGGTGCATGAGCTAGACAAGCCGTGATCGAGTCAATAGCCGTCGTGTACGAACTCACGAAAAGAACTCAGGAGATGCTGTTCGCCGATTGGGCACAATAACACAAATCATTTTTTTGTGCCCAATCAGGAGCCAGCAATCGCTTGACCGTTTGGAAATGGTCTGGTGAGAGTCGGTACCCAGGGGCTCTTCCGCCTGTGCTTGAAAACTTTTGTCGCGCCTTTTCTCCCGGCCTGACTGACCGCCCCTGGGACTCCGAGGATGGGTATTGAGACGATAATAACTGAAAAGGGTAAACATTTTATCTTTGAGAGCCAGATGAAATTCCCGGCTTATAAATAAACAATACGCTTTTGACTTACATGCAAAGTCTCACCTTAAAAAGCCGCGCGTGTGACTAAAGTCAAAAGTGCAAAGACAGTAAACAATTAAGATATATAGTGGAATCAATATGCCTTTCTTTAAGGATTAGTTTATATGGTAACTCGAACTGATGGTTCAGGTTATCGAGACGATAATAACTGAAAACAGGTTAGAAAAACACCGAATTTCGTTTGCATTTCTTTTGCACAGTACTGTACGTGTAGCTATGTGTGGCTAGAAGTGGCTATGTGTGACCATGTGAAACTACGTGCGGCTATGTGTGGCTATGGGTAGCTATGTGTAGCTATGTGTGGCTACGTGTTACTATGTGTAGGTATGTGTGGCCTTGCTTGGCTATGTGTGACCATATGTAGCTATGTGTGGCGATGGGTGGATATGTGTGGCTATGTGTAGCCATGTGTTGTTATGTGTAGCTATGTGTTGCCATGTGTGGCTATGAGTAGCTATGTGTGGCTATGTGTGGTTTATGGGTTGCTATGTTTGGCTATGTGTGGCTATGGGTGGCTATGTGTGCCAAACGTTCAGAATCTAATGCGGGCCTACCTGAAAAACAAAAGTCGAAAAGGAACTGGCCTTCCTAAAAGAACAAATTAAAGCTTTGTGGCAACAGTCGAGCATTGCTAATTCACATCAAGACAGGAATTACAGGACCTACATTGATAACAGTTTTTTCTTAAAACTGATGCAGCAATCCTGTATAAATATGTTGAAACTATTATTATTATTATTATTATTATTATTATTATTATTAAGGCTCGGAAAAGGTTATTGAGATGAGGATCCAGTGTTATCTGATCCTGCCCGTCAAGCCGATGACAACTTAGAATCGGAGAATTCAGTCCATGTTTCGCCAATTGTTCCTACCGCATATCTCTTTTCTCTGCTCCAGAATTATGCGATATCTGGTGAAAATGAATGCTTGCCACCGAAGGTTAATACGTGAGACGCACCATCAACCGAGAATAATTCGTCAGCCAAGGACAGCCCTCCCCCGTCAGCACTAACTCGAACACAGCCATCTTTTTTTATTCTAATGAAAAACTTCGAAACAAGAAAAAACTGTTCCAACCACAGCAGCAATATACCTTCTTTATATGTCCAAGAATTGAACATGACAGCTCAGTTCTCGAAAATCAACTCCATGAACCTCCTCGACTAGTTGTTATCCACACTGGAACAAATAACCTTACTATGGCTACCCCCGTGGATAATTTCCTTTCCGATCTGTCTGTTTTGATTACAAAAGTATGGACAAAGTTCCCCAAAAATAAAATCATATATTCTACTCTTCTTCCTGAAGTCAAACGCAATGCCAGTGGAGAGATAATGGATATCAACCCTTCATCTGATGGAGCTAATGGTACTTATACAATGGAGCGCCACAGGTACACCCATGCTAACTGTCCACACTTCCATCGGCTTGTCGTCACAGTGCAGGGAACTGATGGTAATTACGTCCCTTTTGCATTGCCTTTGTGCAGTATCGATTTGATGGAAATGAACACTTTGTTAGGAACAAACCTCATGGAAATGCAAAAGCTAAGGATCCCTTCATTCCCACTAAAAAAAGCACTCTTGAGAAACTTACTGCTGCAGTTAAATCTCAAGGTGCAAAGAGGGCAGTTCATGAGGTTGAGATGGCTGTTGGGGGTATGTATGCAGACTCAGCTTCATCACTGCCTCGAAACGAGAGGCAAGCTAGGTACATAAAATCAAAAGACAAAGAAACCTCCAAAAGTGACCCGGTTTCTGCCTTGTTGGACATGCAGTTGGAAGAAGAGAAACCATTTATTCGACCAGTCACAGTTGACAGAAATTCTCCCATCATTGTACTGTTCTCAGATGAACAAATCAAGGACTTAAAAAAGTTCTGTTGTAATGAGGACGGACCAAATTCACCATTGTGCATTGACATGACTTTCAACCTTGGAAATTTTAATGTCGTCGTGACTACATACAAGCATTTACAACTGCTTACCAAACGTAGTAACAATGAACCTGTTCTTTTAAGGCCTGTAAGGATGTGCATGAAAAAAGACAGGCCAACGTACCAGTTTCTTTTCCAACAAATAAATTCTCATTGTCCTGAAATTAAAGATCAGCTTAAGGCATATGGTACAGATTCAGAGCTCCCATTTAAAAAAGCTCTTGAACTAGAATTTCCGTTTGCTTTGGGCTTTGTCTGCACGACGCACATAGTAAGAAATCTTGAGCACAAGTTGAAGACTGAACTGAATTTGTCAGACAAGTTCTTTAGAAAAGTAGTTGCAGATGTTTTTGGAGACAAAACTCAGGAGGGACTAGAGTATGACCAGAGTATGACTTTCTCCTTTTAAAGTTATGTGTTAAATGGGACAGAGATGAAAGTGAGGAACGTGCCAAAAAAGGGGACACACAAGAACCGAAAGCTGCAAAATATTTCATGAGAAATAAGGCAGACATTGTGTATCATCACTGTAGATCTGCAGCACTCTGTGAGTTAGGCATTGATGTTGAATTATTTGATAATAATGGCCCAGAGAGTATCAATGCATTAATCAAGAAATTGGAGAATGAAGAGAAGAGTGATATTCCAAAGTTTTTACGTGATATAAAGGAATTGCATGACAAGCAAAAGCATGACGTTTTAAGAGAATTTTGTGGTACACCTGGCTTGTATGCTGTCAAAGAGGATTATGATGAGTTTGCTGTGGGGGCAGAGTTCTGGAAACTTGGCCAGTGTGATAAAGTGAAGTTCCTGAATAAGGTTTCTGATCTTCCTCTCCATCCAAACCAAAGAAAACAAGACCCACTCGAGCCCATTGGACATCTGCCATTTCTGCCTAGTGAAGTTTCAGCTCTTAAAGCAAAAGTGGCAAGGATTCTGGATGGAAATATACGTGTAGGTTTCTCTGGTCCAAAATCACGCATTGTTTGCAGTGACTCAGGTGAACAACCCGATTTATTTTCTGCAGCTAGCACTCACAAGTACAAATGTGATGCCTCTTGCCTTCAGTTCAGAGCAAGGAAAGTTTGCTCACATACACTTACAGCTGCATCAGACAACAAAGATTTACAGGAGTTTGTTGATGTTTATCGTAGTGAAGACATCACTCTGAATATCACACCAGTTGCCACTACTTGAGGAAACAAGTTTGCAGGTCGTAAACCTGGGGATGTTCCAAGGGTGAGAAGAAGGAGCAGTGAACCCTTAGGTGCAGTTGCCGGACGGTCCACTCTTGGGGAGGTACTTTCAGATATACCGCCAGACTTTTCCAAACTCCATTATCAGAGTAAGCACCAAGGAGGATTGAAGATGGTATTTACAAGGGTATCTGCATAGAGGCTTCCTAAGCCTGTATCAATCAACTAGCAGAAGTGATGAGCCTTTTCAGCTTATTGACATTCAAGGTAACATTTGCAAGTGTTTTGGATGTGGATTGCCTCTCAGGGATGGGCCACCAAAGTACGGTGCAGATTATTTGGACTCGCAGTACTGTTTGCGGCACAAAGAGGGAGACCACTTTTACTGCGAGAAATATTCCAAGTCGATTCCTAAAAT